TATACGTTCATGCTTTTGCTACGAATAATGCGCCCTAGAAATTTGGGTTCTTAGAATAAGAGAAAAAAAACTGACGAATTTGATGTTTTTGACGCTCTAAAGGCAGTGTTCAGAAATTTTCGACTCCGGGTTCTCCCCTCCCGTAACGATCGCATGCCTTTCTCGCTAAAGAGCATTTCTTTTAACATAAGCCAAACACAGGCGGTGCTGCGAAGGAAATTATTGAGCAGGAGGAGTGATCTAAAATGGGTGGAGTGACCTAAACGTCCAGAGGGGTTTTCTCCCTCACCACAACGAATTAATTGCTTAAAGTTGGGCATAGCATAGTTCGTGGGTTGGCCATCATAATCTAGCGAGAATTCAAAATCCTTAAATTTGCCCGGACACTGCCTTTAAGAAATCAATACTAATTTTCCACAAAATTTGACGCATACCACACTACATATCATATGATAGCAGCCATGACAAAAGGTGATATATGTCATACATTCATTTCTCTTTCACAGTGGGACCCTCAAAGATTAGCTATACATCGTCCCTGTATAAATTCACTTATTCCTGCTCGTATCCATTGAGGTGGCAGAGCATTCGGTAACAGATCATTATGTTTTCATGCTTGGATTTGTCCATTCTAAACATGTCGTTACCTAATTTTGGCCTCTTGAACTCATTGGGCTTCTCATTGTATGAAGAATAATTATTTGACTTGCAACAAATCGACTCCGTAAGGAAATGAACAAGAAATGCAATTTTTTCAGAAAAATTTTCTTACTCTGATGTAAGATAATCTTGCGGCTGTCAAAACGGTGTGCGTGACTGTCAGAACTCATTAAATCTAAGTCCTCAAAACTCATTAAATCTAAGTCCTTATTTTACTATGAAGACTGAATTTGAAGAAAGTTTCTAAAGTAAGGGTTTAACATTGACAAATGTTCACAATAATCATTTTGATCCATAGAAGTCTAAATATAGCCTTTCAACTACTTCAAGTATAAGTTTCAAATACAGTAAGGCTGCAGTATCGGAGCTAAGATAATTGCTTACTTAAATGAGAAAGCTTCCTATTTCAAATCATCTGCATTTGACATTTTGGAATTTGTATCACTTTTCGTGTGATTTCAATAAATCACGGAAATTGAATCAGGACATCAAGTTCACTGATAACACATTTTTCGCAGGCTTATCGCAACCTCTATTAGCACGCTCAGCTTGTGCGTCAAAACTCTTTCCTTATCACTAAAACTCGAGCGTTTTTCATCTTTTAATCTGACTTTGGTAACTCAAACGCAAACGTAAATATTTTCGAAAAGATTAGAAGAACCCTTATAAATAAATATAGGGGGAACAGAAACAATGATTAATGATAATGTATAGATATTGGATTGCCAACGAATACATTTGACGAAAGTTCATGATATAATATATGAGTAAAAACCAGGGACAAGCATTTTTGCTTGAAAATTTTTGAATGTTCTTTTCTTCTTCTTTTTTGAGGGCTCTTTGAAATTTTAATACAATTTCGACGGGAAAAAGAATATAAAACGTGTTTTTTGAATTATTGTAATAAATCATTATTATTGGTTTTATCCAACTTAAGTCAGCTACAAGTATAGCAAGTATTACCTTGCTTTGCAAAGA